CATGGACACATCTCGTTGAGCCAGACTTCGGACAGCGAGCCCCGCGACGACACTGATGAGGAATGCTGCTCTGGACCTGGCATGGGCAGGGATGATGGTCAATCACCGTGTCTTACCCCGCGGCTTGTACCCACGGTTCACAGTGATGACGGCAGTGTCTCTACTCCCTCCATACCTGGTACCCCAACGACTCAGATAGCGACGCCTTCCAGAGTCGGACACATCGACGACCTCGACGGCCTCGAATCTGGCAGAACGCAAAGTCCTGTGCTCCTCGAGCAGGCTCAGTCGTCACCGCAGTGGTGGAGTGCAGATAATGTCAGAACGCTAAGTCCTGGCAATGGGTGCTCCTCGAGCCCAGGTGTCCAGGCATCTAGAGTAAATTGCGAGGATGTGCTGCAGCTGTCACCTGGTGTTGCGACACGGGAGGTCAGAACGCTAAGTCCTGGCGGCGGGTGCTCCTCGAGCCCGTCGCTTCAGGCATCTGGAGTGAATTGCGAGGAGTTGTCTCACATGGTGCGTAGTGCTCACAACAATGCACATCTCTGGAGGACGGCCGTCAGAACGCAAAGTCCTGCGCATGGGTGCTCCTCGAACCCTTTGCCGCAGGCTAGAGTAAATTGCGAGGGGAAGGTCTCTGGCTCAGTGGCGTCTCTGGTCGCGCGACGCTCTCGTCTGGGGTGTATTCTGGCGACGACTCCGATGCGTGCTTCTACTCCTTTGCCGTCCTGTGCTCCAATGTCCTTGTCGGGACCGGCATCATGCTCTACGGGGGCCATGAGAGCGGCCTCGCCGACTCCAGTGGCGTTGTCCCCGCGTATTGCTCCCTCGTGGCCGTCTTCGGCGGCGTCGGGCTCACAGAGGGCGACACTCCCCTCAACGGCCTCACCGACGGCAGGCACCCCACCACGTGAAGGGCAGACGGGAAAAGGCCCATCACCGTCGCCCCTCCTTCCCCCGTCCTTCGCTTCGTTGATGAGCTCTGCTCCTGCCGCTGCTTGCTCCTCGCCTGCTCCCCCTCCTCCCGCGGTGGTGCCCCCGCATTTGCCCATCATCGCTCCGCTGGTCACGATGTCGAGCGCATCCCACTCTGATCCTGCGCCCGCCTGTCCTCCGTCAGATGCGCTTCGCCTCCAGCATCCCGCCCAATCTGGTGCGGGGTTTTCCCGCGTTTCCTCCCTCACCTCTTCCTTCGCTCCGTTGAGCTCTGCTCCTGCCACTGCCTGCCCCTCGCCTGCTCCCCCTCTCTCCGCGCTTGTGCCATTTCATCGTCGCCGCCTCATCTTTTCCACCGTCCCTATCTCTGCCCCTGTGCCGCCCCCCGCCGTCTCCCACCCCACGCCCTTCGGCGCGGCCAGCTCCGTCTTGCCCTCCTGCCCGTCTATGTCGCCACACCCGCCTCAGCCTCTCACTGAAACAATGATTGAAAGAATTTATCTGGCGCGGCCCTTGGCCGCCGCCCCGACGGCTACCTCATCTTCCTCTTCCGTCGCTCGGAGCCTCGCTGCCGTTGCGGCTGCTTGCTCTCTTCCCTATTCTCCCTCGGATGCGAATATAAAATCGGCTGCTCAACGTGTTGGCGCTGCCCAACTGCGCCCTCACCGCAGCGCTCGCCGAGAGCTCCGAGGCGCAGAGGCCAGGAGCGTCTCGCCCGCGGTGCCCCCGAGGTAGGCGAGGATCGAGGACTTCTTTTACGCTCGTCTCCTCTTCCTCTTCCTCCTCCTCCTCCTCCCTCCTCCCCCTCCTCCTCCCTCCTCCCCATCCTCCTCCTCCTCCTCCCCTCCTCCTCTCCTTCTCCCCCTCCTCCCTCCTCCTCCTCCTCCTCCTCCTCCTCCTCCTCCTCCTCCTCCTCCTCCTCCTCCCCCCTCCTCCCTCCTCCTCCTCCTCCTCCTCCTCCTCCTCCTCCTCCTCCTCCTCCTCCTCCTCCTAACCATCACGAACCAGAAACGAATAAAACCAAAATGCCTTCCCGAATAAAACCAGAACGACGTCCTTATGAAAACCCACTCTCAAGTGGACCAGAGGGCCACGATCCTCGTGAGGGGTGTTCCGGCATTGGGCGTCGGTGGGCCGTCGGCAGCGCTCCACATTGGGCCAGGGCCACGATCCATGTGAGAGGTGTGCCGAACTTCAGCGTCGGGCGGCGATCCAAATGTGGCGGGGTCTACGATCCGTGTGAGGGGTGCGCCGATATTGCTCATCGGTGGGCCGTCGGCAGCGTTCCCAGGTGGGCCAGGACACGATCCTCGTGAGCGGCGTGCCGGAATTGGACGTCGGTGGGCCTTCGGCAGCGCTCCCACTTGGACCAGGGCCACGATCCTAGTGAAAGGCGCGCCGGAAAAGCGCGTCGGAGGGCCAGGCCCACGATCTTCGAGAGGGTTGTGCCGAAATGAAGCGGCTGGCAGTGGCGTTTGCTCCAAATCCGACGTCGACACGAAGGACAGGTGTAAAACTGTCGTTGTTTGTTCACTTACTAATGCGAATCCCATCTACAGCCTCTACAGCGAATAGTGCACGAAGGTAGGCATTGGCGCGAAAGACACGAGGGCAAGGTTTGAAACTACGGTTTTCGTAATTCCCCTGGTGGGAGTTCTATTAGGCCTGATACAAAAGAATAGTACACGAAGGTGAGGTTTGTAGCGACACGAAGACCAGGTGCAACCCTACTACTACTACTACTACTACTACTACTACTACTACTACTACTACTACTACTACTACTACTACTACTACTACTACTACTACTACTACTACTACTACTACTACTACTACTACTACTACTACTACTACTACTACTACTACTACTACTACTACTACTACTACTACTACTACTACTACTACTACTACTACTACTACTACTACTACTACTACTACTACTACTACTACTACTACTACTACTACTACTACTACTACTACTACTACTACTACTACTACTACTACTACTACTACTACTACTACTACTACTACTACTACTACTACTACTACTACTACTACTCTACTACTACTACTACTACTACTACTACTACTACTACTACTACTACTACTACTACTACTACTACTACTACTACTACTACTACTACTACTACTACTACTACTACTACTACTACTACTACTACTACTACTACTACTACTACTACTACTACTACTACTACTACTACTACTACTACTACTACTACTACTACTACTACTACTACTACTACTACTACTACTACTACTGCTACTACTACTACTACTACTACTACTACTACTACTACTACTACTACTACTACTACTACTACTACTACTACTACTACTACTACTACTACTACTACTACTACTACTACTACTACTACTACTACTACTACTACTACTACTACTACTACTACTACTACTACTACTACTACTACTACTACTACTTCTACTAGTAGTAGTAGTAGTACTACTACTACTACTACTATTACTACTACTTATACTTCTACTTCTACTTCTACTTCTACTTCTACTTCTACTTCTGCTTCTACTTCTACTTCTACTTCTACTTCTACTTCTACTTCTACTTCTACTTCTACTACTACTACTACTACTGACAATAATCATAATAATATTTCTAAGAATAATAATGATAGGAGGAGGAGGAGGAGGAGGAGGAGGCGGAGGAGCATGTGGACGAGAATGATGATGAGATAAAACGGGGGGGGTGACTCTTGCCTGGGGTCACTCGTACGTGTCGCCGAGACTTGTTCTGATGGCCCTGGGGCCCGAAAACAGCGCCCGAGGGCCGACGTCGAGGAAAAAAACGCCGGGATTCAAAAATCATGCAGGCGGGAACTTTGATTGGGTGTGTCGCGCCGCGGGTTCCGGCCCGCCGCGCTTCGGCTCGACACGCGGACCACCTCCCCATTTGCCAGCGTCCACGTCCCGAGCCTCTCTCGGCCTCCCGCCCCACGGAGCGGAGCGGCACGCTGACTGCTTGCAGGGCGCAGCGTGTCGCCGGGGCCGCCGCCGCGGCGCGCGACGCAACAGGTCCCGACCGTGTGTCGTCCCGGAGCCGTTTTTGAGGGCCTTTTCGGGCCCGAGAAGGGCGCCCGAGGGCCGAGGCCGAGGCAGAACCGACGCAGATTCGAGACCGAGATCGGGCCGAGATCGAGCTCTCGGTTTCAGCCACGCGATTCGGAATTCCCAGACATGATCGCGTCGTAGCAAACATCAGGACGGGCGGCTACCTGGGAGCTTGCGCCGGGCCTCGGGACCGTGAAGAAACGACTCAGGATGGAAACCTGGTCCCTGGGAAACGTTTGGGACTTCCAGGGGCCCCGTATTGAAAAGATCGGGACTTCGCATGTCTAGGGTTCGACGACACTATAAGCCGGCCACGCGCAGAGAGGGGTAGGGGGAGGGGGGAAGGCTTCTTAGAAGGAGGTTGCTTCGTAGAAGGCGCCGGCCTTGACTACAGTAATAATGGCCGGCGCCTTCTAAAAGCAGCCTCCTTCTAAGAAGCCTCCCCTCCTCCCCCTACCCACTTGTACGCGCCGCCTGCGGTTTTCGCTCGAGCCTCTGGCGGCTGCTCGGGACGACCCGGGCAGCCCCAGAACGCCCGCGACGAGGCGCAGCAGCTGAGAATCATCTCGAGACTGGAAGACGTCCGAGAGCCGACGAAAGCACAAGCGCCCGAGGACCGACGAAAACGCCCCAGAACCGAAGAGAACGTACGAACACGTCCGACAACGTCTGGATTGAAATCAGCATACCATCTGAGATCTGAGGCCTCTTCGGGCGGGGCTGGGACGAGGATAAGTCTGTTCCAGAGCGTTCCGGAAAGCTCTCAGAGCGTTCTGGCACTCCTTGAGAAGACCGCGACGCCCGATACCCTCTCCAGAGCCGCCGGATCTCAGAGGTTCTCGATCTATCCCCACCAGATTTTATTTTCGTCCTGCCTTCGTCTTACTTCTGCCCCCGCGGCGGGCGCGAGCGCCCCTTGGGGCTTCCTGCCGCGGTGGTCCCAGGCCAGAGCTTGGCCGCTGCTGCCCAGCGCCCTTCTTCCGGCTGCTCACGGAGGCTCGGGGGGCGCCATTCCGCAGAAGGCACCCACACTTGCACGCTGGTCGTTGAAAGCAGGTATCCTTGGATTCTCAGGTCTTACTCTACTTCAAGCGCCTTCTTACTTCAATAATCGATCTGCATTTTCGGTGTTTTGGTATTCTCTGGGGGAGCCTGCGCCCAATCTACCTTATCCGCCTTCCGACTTCATGTTTTATACCTACTTCTTCCGAGCGACGTGTACCAGTTTGAAACATATCCATATTCCTATGTTTGGCATCACCTTACCTCGACGCCGATCTTAAGGACTCCCTCGGAGGCGATCTCAAGGATTCCTTCAGTTTTTGCGGGCACATCCCTAAGATCATCATCGCTGTTGGCTTGCCCATCTTAGGAATCGTGATAGGCTCGAATCCGGTTGCACACTCCACCACGGCTAGCTCAAGCACAAAAAATGATTGTGCCGGGGGGGGGTCTCCTGGATTGTTCAGTCTCTGGAGGCCTTTTTCGGGCCCCAGGACCGTCAGGAATCGAAAGCCAGCCCGGACGGACTCGAGGAGCGGTCTGGGCGTCGATTTTGAGCGGATCCAGTCGGGACGCAGGAGGTACTTCATTATACACTGTACAGTGGGGGCGTTGGTTAAGGAATGTGCCCAGGAGGCTGCAGACCCGGGAGGATTCCTTGTAGGATGAGGGCGGCGGTGATGTTCGTGGCCGATCTATGTTCGTGGCCGATCTACGATTGGAGTTCCACCGACTTCCAGACCTTGGATTCCTTATCCAAGGGTTTCTTGTCCAATGCCCCCACCGTACATTCCGAGGTCGGGATTTCTCCACAACCACCGCCTCGGGGATCGATCTTCGCGGACCATAGGCGCTGGATATGGATGTGTTCGGGCCCCCGCGGGGCAAAACATATCCATATCCACCGCTTGCTGGGGCACCAGGACGTCGGCTCCCAGGCGGTGGATGTGGATCAATCCCTGCCTCGCGATCGTACACTCCCACCATGCCTGCCCTGGCCTATCCTGCGCCCGAGAAGGGTGTGCAGACCCTCCTGGCCTCGGCCGCGAGGGCTTGCGCACCGTGCGAGGGCCCAGGGTGGCTCGTGCCAGGCACGGTGGTGGTGGTGGTGGTGGTGGTGGTGGCGAAGAGGGCCTCTTGCGTAAACGACTGGCCACGCAACGAGAGGGAGGGAGGGAGGGAGGGAGGGAGGTCAGAGGAGAAAAAGGTATCCATACCGTTACCCTCCAACCGTTTTCCCCTGTTGGGGCCTCCCGGGAGACCCTCGTCGCCACCGCTAGACTCGCCTCGAAATTCTGGTCAGAACGCACTCCGTAAGGGGCCCGCGGAATAGCAGTATTGGCACCTTGTGCTTCCCCCAGGGGGCAGGGAGGGATCGAGCTTCGAGGATCGAGGTTCGAGGAAGGCGTTAGTCGTTTTCGGCGTCTGGAGGCCCGCTTCGGGCTCGGGTGCCTTCCAGATGCGATCTTGGGGGGATACTTGGCAGGACGGGCCCCAGGAGGGGTCCAAGGACAGGTTTTGAATTGATTCTCAGGTTTCGCGGGTTGTTGTTTCTAAACCTTCCCCCTCCCCTGGCCCCCCCCCTCCCCCTCAGTCTCGGCGTCCAGGGGCCGTCTGCAGGCCCAAGGGCCCAGGACGAAAGCGTGGCCCCCCGCGATAGGAGTTGAGACAGCTGGGGTCCGCGGATGGAAACAATCTCATTTCGGCGTCACCCCAACATACTAATACAACGTGTGCGTCGTCCCCCCAGGGGTGACGCGCGCACCGAGACATCTCGTGGTATCTGCGTCGTGGCGGGCGCTTTCTGGCCACACCGCTCGGCAAACGATCTACTGCAAGAGATGGGTACACTACATGTTCGGGTCGGGCGCTTCCCAGGAGGGCATATCGTATTAGCCCAGACATGTGACGCCTTGATTTTTCCAATACGGGGTCCCTGGAAGTCTCGACCCTTTCCCCAGTACCGGTTTTTCGTCCCGAGTCGTTTTTGACTTTCCCGAGGCCCGGCGATGGCCCCCCGAGGCCGAACATGGTCCCCCAAACCTTCCGTCCTGATGTTCTCACGACGCGATCGTGTCTGGTAGTATGCCTCCGTGCGTCCCATCCTCGCCCGCTGTTTGGGCGCCGAACTTGGCCAGGCGCCCCTTTGGGGACCAGGCCATAGCTGTCTGCGCCCTCCTGGCCTGGCACGGGGCGGCGCGCACACGCGCGGGGGCCCAGGACTGGCCCTGGCCAGGATGGTGAGGTTCGGCGGGGCGCCAATTACTCACTGCGTGGAGCTTCCCATTTGTGCATCTCATTTCCTATGTCATGCCGCAGTGAGCGTCTGAGATGAGGGTGGCATGCCATGTTTTGTGTCTTGCCATGTTCTATGTCAAGCCAAGGATGTTGGGCATGAAACGAGCAAACCGCCTGAGACATCCCCACAAACTGGCCGCGAACGGGCCCGTGAGAACACCCCTGGCGGCCCCCCTTAGGGGTGCTGAAACCAGCGCCCCGCCTGAGACATCCTCACAATCTGCTCTGAAAGCAAAGGATGTTGGGCATGAGAACGAGCAAACCGCCTGAGACATCCCCACAAACTGGCCGCGAACGGGCCCGTGAGAACACCCCTGGCGGCTCCCCTTAGGGGTGCTGGAACCAGCGCCCCGCCTGAGATATCCTCACAATCTGCTCTGAAAGCAAAGGATGTTGGGCATGAAAACGAGCAAATTGCTTGAGACATCCCCACAAACTGGCCGCGAACGGGCCCGTGAGAACACCCCTGGCGGCTCCCCTTAGGGGTGCTGAAACCAGCGCCCCGCCTGAGACATCCTCACAATCTGCTCTGAAAGCAAAGGATGTTGGGCATGAGAACGAGCAAACCGCTTGAGACATCCCCACAAACTGGCCGCGAACGGGCCCGTGAGAACACCCCTGGCGGCTCCCCTTAGGGCTGCTGGAACCAGCGCCACGCCTGAGACATCCTCACACCTGCTCTGAAAGCAAAGGATGTTGGGTATGATAACGAACAAACCGCTTGAGACATCCCCACAGACTGGCCGCGAACGGGCCCGTGAGAACACCCCTGGCGGCGGCTCCCCTTAGGGGCACGGGGTGCTGAAACCAGCGCCCCGCCTGAGATATCCTCACAATCTGCTCTGAAAGCAAAGGATGTTGGGCATGCAAACGAGCAAATCGCCTGAGACATCCCCACAAACTGGCCGCGAACGGGCCCGTGAGAACACCCCTGGCGGCTCCCCTTCTGAAACCAGCGCCCCGCCTGAGACATCCTCACAATCTGCTCTGAAAGCAAAGGATATTGGGCATGCAAACGAGCAAACCGCTTGAGACATCCCCACGAACTGGCCGCGAACGGGCCCGTGAGAACACCCCTGGGGGCTCCCTTTAGGGTGCTGAAACCAGCGCCCCGCCTGAGACATCCTTGCAATCTGCCGTGTGTTGAGTAACTGAGACTATGAGAAGGTCTGAAAATGTGTGGGTCTGAATAAGAGTAGGTCTGTGTATTACGTCTGGGTATGAGTAAGTCTGAGTATGAGTAAGTCTGTGTATGAGTAAGTCTGTGTAGGTGTACGTCTGGGTATGAGTAAGTCTGAGTATGAGTAGGTCTGAGTATGAGTATGTCTGAGTATGAGTAAGTCTGTGTATGAGTAAGTCTGTGTGTGAGTAAGTCTGGGTATGAATATGTCTGTGTATGAGTACGTCTGGGTATGAGGAAGTCTGAGTATGAGTAAGTCTGTGTATGAGTAAGTCTGTGTTCTTGTTCTCTGGAGTCGGCGGCGTCCAAGAAATAACAAGAACCCCATCTTAGGATATGGGGTACCATCAGGACGGGAGGTTTTTCGTTATTTTCGGCCTCGGGGAGCCCTCAGCAGGCCCCGGGACTGTCAAAAAAGGATTCAGAACGAAAAACCGGTCCCGGGGAAAGGGTCGGGGCTCCCAGGGACGCGGCATTGAAAAATTCAAGACGTCGCATGTCTGGGTATGCACCACCACCAGCCCTGGCTGGCCATGCTCTTCCTGGGCCCTGGATCGGTGCACAGACCTCCTGGCCTGGGTCGGGAGGGCCTGTACAGCAGTCCAGGGTTCACGATGGGCCTGGCCAGGGCTGGTGGTGGGGTGTTGTTTGGGCCCTCTCAGAACCCCGACGTCGTGAGACACGCAGAGGTCCCGACCCCTTCGGGGCCCGCCCGAGCCGTTCTTGTCGGTCCTGGGGCGCGGCAAGAGGGCCTCCAGACGCCGACACTGGGAGAATAGAACTTGGCAGACAAGCAGCCGTTTTTTTGTTTTTGTTTTGTTTTTTTGTTTTTTTGTTTGTAAAAAAAACAGAGAGAGAGAGGACGCCTGGGGTGGGGCCGGCGTCCTCCGAGAGGCCATGATGGACCACCCGCTCTACACTCCGGACCCCCGCGACGCCTCGGTTATCTTCTTGCGGCACGACACGCTCCGCATGTGCGAGTGGCCAGACCTGCTCATGCTCCCAGGCGAGGACGGGAGGGAGCACGGCAAGTGCGGTTGCCAGGGGCGGCGAAATGGCGGTCAGTGGTTCAGGGATGAATATGTGTACATGTGTATCTGTATGTATGTATGTATGGGTGGATGCATGCACGCATGCACGAATACATACATGTGTGTATGTCTTCCTGTCTGTCTGTCTGTCTGTCTGTCTGTATGTATGTATGTATATATACATATCTATATATATGCCTGTCTGTTTGTCTGTCTGTCTGTCTGTCTGTCTGTCGTCTGTCTGTCGGTCTGTATGTACATATGTATGCACGCATGTGTGTATGTATGTATGTCTGTACGTACGTATTTTTGCACGCATGCATGCATGTATGCATGCATGTATGTATGTATGCATGCATATATGACTATACGTAGGTATGACAAGTATGTATGTATGTATGTATGTATGTATGTATGTATGTATGTATACAGAGGTGCATGAATGTATGTATGTTTGTATGTGTACATGCACGTATGTATGTTTATATATATGGATGTATGACTGCATACATGCTTGTCTGTATGCATGTCTGCATCCATGTATGTATGCATGTATGCATGTATGCATACATGTATTTATGTATGCATGTATGAATGTATGTATACATGTATGTGTGTATGCATGTGTATGCGTGTATGTATATGTATGTATGTATGTATGTATGTATGTATGTATGTATGTATGTATGTATATATGTATGTATGTATGTATGTATGTATGTATATCTGCACGCATATATATGTATGTATGAATTAGTGTATGTATGTATGTTTGTTTGTTGTTTGTTCACATCTGTGTATGTATGTATGCATGTTTGTAATATATGTGTATGTTGTCGTGTTGTGTACATATAAGTATATAAACATGTCTGCAGGTGTGTATGCATGCATGTCTGCATGCATTCGTTCGTACGTGCGTATGTACATGCATGCATGTACGCATGAATGCATGCATATATGTATGGGTGAACGTATGTATGTAGGTATGCATGCATGCATGCATGCATACATACATGCATGTATGTATGTATATATACACGCATTCATGCATGCATGTATGCATACATGTATCCATGTCTCCATGCATGTATTCATACATGCATTTACTGTATGCTTTTATTGTATGTATGCAGGCATGTACTGTATGCACGCATGCACATATGCATGTACCCATGTATGTATGAATGCATATACGCATGTATGCGTGTATGTGTGTATGTGTGTATGTATGTATGTATGTATGTATGTATGTATGTAGGTATGCAGGTATGTAGGTATGTAGGTATGTAGGTATGTAGGTATGTATGTATGTATGTATATTTGTATGTATGTATGTATGTATAGATGTATATATATATATGTATGTATGTATGTATGTATGTATGTATGTATGCATGTTTGTATGTATGTATGTATGTATGTATGTATGTATGTATGTATGTATGTATGTATGCATGTATGTGTATATATGTAGATATGCTTGTATGCCTGTCTGTATGTATGCCAAGTCCGAGTGCCCCTTGACCCCCTGAGCTTCTTGGATCCTTTCGCTGCCGCCGCCTTCCTGGAGCCGCGGCTGCTTGCGCGGGATGGGCCCGGGGCTGGCCCTCTGGCGCGTGCGGTGGGGCCCCCAGCCCGACCAGCCCCTCCGAGGCCGGCCCGTCAGGCCGGCAAGCCCGGCGACCTCACGACGTGGGGCGCCTGGAGCTGGTCGTCGCGGCCGACTCCCCGCCGGCCTTGCGGGGCACTCTCTTCCACGTGTTCAAGGACTCGATCATTCAGAGGGTCGTCTTCAACCGGATCGCTCGAAACGCGGCCGAGCTTCCGCTGTGCGGCTTCTCCAAGCTGACCCCGAGCGCTGCCATGCTGGTGGGCCTGGAGGTGCCCGCCGGTCATGTCCTGCGCGCGTGGGCCGACGACCTCCAGGACTTCTACCCAGCCTTCGACTGCAGCTACGAGATGGCTCGCACCAACGATGTTGCCCTCCCCCTCCCTCCGAGGCTCTACGAGGGCTTCGCGGCGCTGGACAGGTTGCGGAACCGTTGCCGACGCGAAGGCCGCGAGCTCCCTGAGAAGGTGGTCCCCTGCCACGGCGGCCTGATCATGGGAGGCTTGAGCGCGCCCGACTGGGCGTGCGAGTCCCACGTGCGGCTGCTCGCCCAAGCTGGCAGTTTCCCTCAACCGCCACCTCGCCCCCGAGGGGGCTGCCTGGGAGGGCGTCGTGCTGGCCGACCACTTCGGCCTGGCCGTCGACGCGCCTGGCTCGCGGGCAGCTCGTCGCGCGATCGAGGAGTCCTTCGCCCGCGCGCGTGAGGCCTATGCTGACGCTGGCCTCAAGGTCAGCGCGGGCAAGGAGGTAAAGGTCGCAGCGGAGGCGACGGTCATCGGGGCGGAGCTCCTCGGTCACGACGGGCTCGTCGGCGCCACCCGCGCTCGCAGGCTGGCGCTGGCCTGGGTGGGCCTCTCCCTGGCCCGAGGCCGGCGCTCCGCTACGCTGGGCTTGCAGAGGTTCCTCGGCATGGGCCTCTTCGCCGCTCTGCTTCGGAGGCCCACTCTGTCGCTCCTCCACCACTGCTACACAGAGGTCGACGCTGGTCGCGACCCGTACGAGGTGCTCGAGCTGAGCGGCGCTGCCTGCAACGAGTGTGCCCTGTTCGCGGTCCTTCTCCCGCTGATGACCACGGACCTATCCTCTGGGTGGGGCCCCCGCGCGCTGGCCTCAGATGCCTCGCGCATGGCTGGGGCGTCTGTCAAGACGCCCGCCCAGGCGCCCGTCGCCCGCGCCTTCTGGCGACAGCGCGAGCAGCGAGGCGCTCGTACGTGGCTCTACCCGCCTGGCTGGGCGGCCCTGGCGAACCCCGAGGACGGCGGCCTCTTGCAGGATCTAGAGGAGGAGGCCGCCCCGCCCCCCGGCGTCGTCGTCGACCCAACGGCCTCGCTCATCGAGTACTTCGACGTGCTGGCGCTCTGCTGCGGGGAGGAAGCCCGCCTCATGGGCCACCTTGCATGCCGAGGCCTGCGCGCGGGCCCGAGGATCGACGTCAAGTGCCACAAGCACTGGGACCTAGTCAACTCGCGCCTGGCAGAGTGGATCATTTGGCTGATCTGGCAGAGGCGCGTGAAGATGACCATCTCGCAAGTGCCGTGCACCAGCTTCTCCATTGCGAGGCACCCGAGGCTCCGCTCCAGGTCGCGGCCCTGGGGTTTCGACCCATCTAGCACCCCCGCGCGGCTGGGCGACGTCCTCTTCAGGCTGGGGATGCTGGCTCTACTCGCGCACCTGCTGTCAGGCTACGGCACTGGGCTACATGAGCGCCCTTTGACTGCCTACTCCTGGCACACGAGCGTTGTCCTGTTCTTGTTGTCGCACGACGCCGTGGAGCGGATCGACCTCTCGATGTGCCAGTTCGGCGCGCCCTGGAAGAAGGATGCCAGCCTCCTGGCTGTGCGAGGCCCCTGGCTGGCTCCGATGGCGAGGCGCTGCCGCGGAAGGCACAAACATGCCGTCCTGGTGGGCGGCCTGGCCCCCAGGGCCGCGCTCTACCCGCGCGGATTCTGCGACGAGCTGGCCCGGCTCATCTCTGGGATCCTGGACTGGGCGTCCCCGCCGCCTCAGGCGGAAGGAGGAGCGCCCCTGGGAGCTTTCGGGGCCCTCTGGCTCAACGACTACGTCAGCTTCGCCCCCTGGCAGCTGCGCCGCCACCGCCGCTTCTCCAAGCCCCTCCGCATCAACCTGCTGGAGGTCGATGCGGCTTGCGCTGCGGTGGACGAGCAGGGCCTTCGATTCCCTGATTGCAAGCGCAACCTTGTCCTGGACCCCCGCGTTTCGATCGGGGCCATCAGCAAGGGCCGCCCCGCCTCGACCGCGATCAACAAGCTCTTGAGAAGGCGGGCCCCCTTGCAGCTGGCTGCGGGCACGTATGTCGGGTGCCGCTTCTCGCCGACGCGCCTGCAGCCGGCTGGCGCCCTGTCGCTCGCGCTCCGTGACCCGGCGAGCATGGCGGCCCGCGGAGCCGAGGCGACCTTGGCTGGCCAGCCTCGAGGCCGGGGACGCCTCGGCTTTTCGCGCCTTGGCCGCGCCCCCGCTGCAGCGCCGGCAGCAGTCGCGGTGGGCTTGGCTGGTGGCGCGCCTGTGGTGGCGAGGGCTCCTGCGGCTGGCCCCTCGCCCGCTGGTGCGCGACCCCGCGCTGGGCTCTCCTGGGGAGGGCCCGCGCGGTGGGGCCACGGAGGGCGCCGCCTGGGACGCCGCCGGGGCCGCCGCCGACCCCGCTGGGGTGGCCGCCGCCAGGCTCGCCGGGCGCGCGGGCGACGGCGGCCAGCCGCGGCCGGTCGCTGCGGGTGGCGGTGGCTCGCCGAGACGGCCCCCCATGGAGGTCCGCCCGGGTACGGCCAGCCTCCCTGGGTGGCACCGCCCCCCTTGGGCCCTTGGTGCTGCTGCTGATGCCGGGCCGCGCTGCAGCGCCGCGCCCGCCGACGGCCTGCCCCGCGGGGGTGGGTCTGGCGGCGACTCGCGGCCTGACGCCTGTGGTCCAGGCGCGCAGCGCGGCCCTCGTCTCGCAGCTCCTGCGCTGGCTGGCTGGCTGTGGCGGCCTGGCCTGGGGCCCGTTCATCCTGATGGGCCCGGCGACTGGAGCGCCATCTGTCCCAGCGCGGCCAGTTCATGGATGACGCAATGAGGTGTCGCCACGACTTCGACGAGACGATCAACGCTGGGGTGGATGCCGATCGAGCCCCCCCGGCACCGCCTCGACGCGACATGGGGTGTCCCCTTCGCGTGGAAGCACCTCGTGCAGGTTTCGAACCGCCAGGCTATGCCGGAGTCGCTGCTGCTCGCGTCCCCGAGCCTGGCGCTGGCCTGGGGTTGGACCGACGGGGCCGGCTGCCTGCTCCTGGGCTTCTCCGGCAGGATGAGGCCGTTCCAGTTCTTGAGGCTGAGGTTCGGGGGCCTTGTGCCCCCCTCTCGCCTGGAGCGACTGCAAGCGATGTAGTGCACGCCGGCGCGCCAAGAATGAGACGTCTTGGCGCTCGCCGCGTGCGCATCAAGTTTGATGTTCCACAGGTTGTGCATCTCTTCGTGGCCCTTTCACTTCGATCCTCCCCTCGCCCCCCTTTCTTGCATGGTGGTGCCCGAGCTCGTTTGCCAGAGATTTCCGTCCAGGTGGTAGGGGTCGAGTCGTTTGCCGAGGCCGAGCGACGGCGCCCCCTGCCCTTCCGGCCCCCGTCTTCGAGAGAGCCGCCGCCGCTGCGAACAGAGCTCTTCGGTGCCCTCTTCGCTCCTCCTGCGTCTGCCCCGTCTTCCACCATGAGCGGTTGTGGCTAGAGGAGGCCGGCCCCCTTTTTACGGCCGTCCTCGTGCACAGAAGTTTGCAGAGACAGGTGCGAGCCCGGAAAAGTGCATCGGCCTTGGGAGTAGAAGAGCTTTTTCAGCAGGGGAAGGGCATCGCTGATTGCAGCGATTCCTCGACGCGCGTGGGCTCTGGCTTCGAGCTCTCCCGTGCCCGCCCACCCCGTGGCTAGTGGGGGCCGGCCCCATTTCTGCGGCCGTCCTCGTGCTCAGAAGTTTGCAGAGGCAGTGGTGAGCCTGGTCGAGTGCATCGGCCGTGGGATTACAGGAGCTTGTCCAGCAGAGGGAGGGCATCGCTATATATGTATGTATGCGTGTATGTATGTATGCATGCAAGCATGCATGCATACATTCGTGCGCACGTACGTGCGTGCATTCGTGCACGCATGCACGTATGCATGCATGCATATGCGTGTATGCATGGATGGGTGAATGAATGAATGGATCTATGTATGTGTGTATACATGTATGCATGCATGTGTGTATAGGTGGACGGATGCATGCGTGTATGTATGTATGGGTGAACGGGTGAATGGATTTATACAGGTGTGTACACCTACATCTATGCATGCATGCGTGTGTATATTTATGCACGCATGCAGGTATGAATGCATGTGTGCACGCATCTGTGCATGCATGCATGTACGTGTGTATGTATGTATGTATGTGTGTGTATGTATGTTTGTATGTATGTATGTATGTATGTACGTAGTGTTTACACATGTATGTATGTATGTATGTGGGTGTATGGTTGTATGTGTGGATGTATGTATATATGTAGGTATGTATGCATACATGTGTATATGTATGTGTGTATGTATGTATGTACGTGCATTTGCATGTTTGTATGTTTGTTGGTGTGCATGCATTTATGTATGTACGTATGGTGTATTAATGTATGTATGCATGTATGTATGGATGTCTGCATACGTGTACGTATGTATGTATGTATGTATGTATGTACGTATGTGTATACATATACATGTATATACACATATGTATGCATGCATGTATGTGTATATACACACATATATATATATATATATATATATATATATATATATGTGTATGTGCATGCATGCATGTATGTAAACATGTGTGTGTGTGCGTGTGTGGTCTTTTTGAGTTGCATCCCTGTCATTCCTCAGCGTTCTGTCGGCGTCGCTCGTCGGGTACCGCCGTCTCCGTCTTCGGACGCTGCCTCAATTTTCTCACTCCCAACCCTGCCCAGGTGGACATGTGCGTTTGATCCAAGGCGGTCCAGCGTCTTTGGGCCCGGCCGCGCGCGCTAGTTTGATGCCGACTGCTCGACCTGTTTTCACGACGCGAGCGTGTCTGGGCCCTTTTTGCTCTCCCTGCCTAGGCTGCGTGGATGCCGGCGGAGACGGCTACGACGGCCCAGCGCTGGACAATTACTCCCGCAGCTGCGGGTGGTGCTGTCCCGTCGGCTCCCACTTGTTCGCGGCGACCGTCCAGGAGGTGGTGAGGAGACTCTTTTTCTCTTGTTTAAGATCCGGCCAGGACCCGGGCTATCGGGCCCGTGTGCCCCCCCCGCCTCTCCTGGATAACCTGACCTTGTGGGTTGCGCACGCCCGAAGCGGGTACGCAGGACTGGTGCGGGTGGGCATACGTGGGGTTGCCCAAAGCGACAAGGTTTGGCTATCGGCCTGCACTTCCTCCGCCCCCCACAAGATAACCTGGGTTATCGCAGAAAAAGAAAGCACGATCTCGAGGGAGTACGGGCCCATCCACACCTTCGTGTACTCCGAGGAGAATAGAGGATCGAGTTTGTGAAGACAAATCAAAATGGTTTTTTTGGGGACCTTCGCCGTGCCGTGGGACCGTCAAAGAACGGCTCAGGCCGAAACACCCAAGGGAGAGGGTTGGCACTTCCCGGAACCGCGTGTTGACAAACTCGAGACATCGGATGTCTGTTTGTTTGTGTGTGCGTGTGTGAGTGACGGCATCCCCGTGTAGGCATCCCGTCGCCAGCGCAGACGTCCCTTGCCCAGCCGCCGACGCAAAAACGTGTGCGACTGTGGGCGACTGTGTGTGTGTGTATGTGTTGCAGTTTTTTGCTTCCTAACTCCCTCCCGCTCCCCCTCCCCTCTCCCCTTCGGCTCCGACCGTCCCCCCCTCCCTCGCGGCTGCCCCCCTGTGGGCGAGCCCGGCGCGCCTCTGCTGCTGTGAGCCAGGCCCGCCCGCGCGCCCCCCTCCGCGCTCGGCCGCCGGCCCGACTCCGCCGCGCTGTTGCGCGCACGGCCGCGACGCCGCGACGCCAGAAAGTGTGCTCCCAGGCATGATCGCGTCGTAAAAGCATGAGGGCGGGAAGTTTTTCCGCTATTTTCGGCCTCGGGGGGCCCTCGCAGGTCCTCGGGACCGTCGACAAATGACGCAGGATGAAAAACCAGGGAACGGGATTCCCAGGGACGCCGTAATGTGTGTGGCGCCCAGATGACTAATGGCCTGGTGCTGCCGCTGCTTGGTCGCGAGCGGCTTGATGGGCTCGGCCGCTTTAGACGCGCGTGCGCGCCCGCCTCTCTGACTTTTCTCCGTCCTGTCGCTGCGCTCGGGGCTGCGACGCCCAAGCGTGTGTGTGTGTGTGTGTGTGTGTGTATATATACACATATATCGGAGGTGAGGGGGTGAGATCGAAGTGGAACGGAGAGCCCCCCTACCGGGAAATCGATTTCGGTTTCGTGTTCGTGCGTGCCGTGCGGGCGAGGCGAAGCTGCGTGGGCGGGCGAGAGGAAAGTCTCCTGTGGCTGAGGCGCGGCCAGACCAAATGATTCTCCGCCGGGCGGCCGGTGGCGCGCGGTGTCCCGCCGGTGTCCCGCTGGTGTCCCGTGTGGCTGAGGCGCGGCCGGACCAAATGTCTCCCTTCCGGGCGGCCGGTGGCCCGCGGTGTCCCGCCGGTGTCCCGCGGTGTCCCGCGGTGGTGTCGGTGTCCCGCGGTGTCCGCGGTGTCCCGATGATGATGATGATGATGATGATGATGATGATGATGATGATGATGATGATGATGATGAGATGATGATGAGATGATGAGATGATGGTGATGATGATGATGATGGTGATGCTGATGATGATGCTGCTGATGATGCTGATGCTGATGTTGATGCTGATGCTGATGATGATGATGATGATAATGATGGTGATGCTGATGATGATGCTGATGATGATGAGGACGATGATGATGATGATGATGATGATGATGATGATGATGATGATGATGATGATGAGTATGATGATGAGTATGATGATGAGTATGATGATGATGATGATGATGATGATGATGATGATGATGATGATGATGATGATGATGATGATCGAGTGAGATCGAGTGTGATAGATCGAGTGAGATCGAGTGAGATCGAGTGAGATCGATTGTGAGATCGATTGTGAGATCGATCGAGGGAGATCGATCGAGCGAGACCGATACTGAGATCGATAGTGAGATCGATAGTGAGACCGATCGAGTGAGACGTTGGTTCCTCCCCCCCCGAACCTCCTTATCACCCGAAGGGTGGTCGTATAGGTATATATGTGTCAATTGGTGCCTCCATCTGCTGCTCGCGCTTGAGGATCCTCTGCGCCGCCGGTTTAAAAGACAAGTATATGTGTGTGTCCTTCCTTTTTGCAGGGGGCAATCTGCATCACTCGCCCCGTGCGGGGGGTGATCCGCACTCCCCACAGCCAGTCTTGCCGCTGCTGTGTGCCCGGCTTTCTGTCCCGTCCTCCTCGTCCTTGTCTTCTCCTGTCGTCGTCGTCGTCCCCTCTCCCCGCCGCCCCCCCCCCCCCCCGAGGCAAGGCCTCCGCGTGCAGTGCCCGCCTGGCAAGCCTCGGCCGCCCTGTGGCCCCTCCTTTCTCCCCCCTGCCTTTGTGATGTGCCTCCTTCTCCCCTCTCGACTCCTTCCTCGGCTGGCGTCTTCCCTCTTCGTAAACTGCCTTTCCCTTGTGTGTGTGTGTGTGTGTGTGTGTGTGTGTGGAAGCTCTCCGCCAGCGCAGTTATTCTGCCTGGCCGCCGACGCAACAAGTATGTGTGTTGCGTCTGTTTCCTTTCCCTCGGCTGCCCCTCCCGCGTCGGTCGGCCCGTGTCCCTTGTGCCTGTCCGTCCCCCCCCCACCCTCGCGTGTCCGCTGTCGCTCCTCGCTTGTCCCTCGCTTCGCTTGGCCCAGCCCCCTACGGCTGAAGGAGAAAACCTTGCATCAACAACGCTCCGACGACAAAGAACCGAATTCCCCCCCTCCACTCCCCCGCCGTGGGCCGGGGGGGATGCGGGGAGGTGTATTCGAGCTGGTCCCCGACCTCTTGATGCAAAGTTTTCCCAACCCTCCTTGGTTGGGTACTCGTTTTGAATAGAGCAGTGTGGTCTCCACTCCTTCCTTCCTTCCTTCCTTCCTTCCTTCCTTCCTTCCTTCCCGCCTCCCTCTTGCCTCCTCCTGTCTTGCCTGCGGGGGGCTGCGATCTGTGAAACTGTCGCCACTTTCGAGGCCTGCTGGGGGCCCAGCGCAGTGACGCCACACTCAGATTCAAATTAGATCTCGCCGTTCCTGGGGGGCTGCGATCTGTGAAATTGTCGCCACTTTCGAGGCCTGCTGGGGGGCCCAGCACAGTGACGCCACACGCAGATTCACATCAGACATCGCCATCCTTGGGGGGGCTACGATCTGTGAAACTGTCGCCACTTTCGAGGCCTGCTGGGGGGCCCAGCACAGTGACGCCACACGCAGATTCAAACTAGACCTCGCCATCCCTGGGGGGGTTGCGATTTGTGAAACTGTCGCCACTTTCGAGGCCTGCTGGGGGGCCCAGCACAGTGACGCCACACGCAGATTCAAATTAGACCCATCCATCCTTGGGGGGGCTGCGATCTGTGAAACCGTCGCCACTTTCGAGGCCCGCTGGGGGGCCCAGCGCAATGACGCCACACGCAGATTCAAACTAGACCTCGCCATCCCTGGGGGGGTTGCGATCTGTGAAATTGTCGCCACTTTCGAGGCCTGCTGGGGGGCCCAGCACAGTGACGCCACACGCAGATTCAAACTAGACATCGCCATCCCTGGGGGGGCTGCGATCTGGGGCGCTCAGTGGGCCCATGGATTGG